GTACACTCGGCAGGTGGAAAACGGCGCCGCGAGCACCCCTACTAGGGATGGATACGTGCGCCTAACAAAATGACATTATTATTATTATTATTATTATTATTATTATTATTATTATTATTATTATTATTCTTATGTAACGGTGGCACAAGTTTTTTAGATCCAGCCGTACGCGGCGCCCCATTGTTTGTATTCCCACTATGCATTTCGGTCGAACAGTTTTTCTTTTCTGTGGAGAACTTTATCTTGTGTTTCTAGTATCTCTGATAATATACAAAAGGAATAAATCCTTTAGGCCTATATAGAAATTTTGGACTTTTTCTGTTTGTAAAAATATACAAACCAACGTGACGCTCGCGGCTCGCACGTAATAAGTTAAAATATTTATATGAAATAATATTTTGAATTATTTAGGAAGACTGTAACGGCCACGGAACACATTGTGCTGGTACTATTGGTAGCGCTACCTACGGAATCGCTACCGGTGCAATGCTTCATGGTGTGACGGTACTCGGTTGTTCTGGTGCGGGTTCAGTGTCAGATATCATTGCTGGTAAGAAAGAATTTCTAGAAAATACTCGAAATATATTTGAAACGTTTCTTTATATAATATAGGCCTACATTGTGTAGAATTTTATTTTGGATGGAAGAAAACATCGGCTTCTGACCATACAAGTTTAAATTGAATAGACCAATATGTTCACGAATCTCACTATCATTATCATCATTATTTTCTTCATCGTCATTCGTTATCATCATCATCATAATCGTTATTCTTTATCATATCATTTCTCATTATTTTATTAATTGTTGTTTTTTAATTAATCAATAGATTATAGGGCGCATGATACAGCTGTCTCTACGCTTTTATTATCTACAATAAGTCTAATTGATAAATGCAGTTACTGTGAATCTTTTCAACTGTTATCGTAGGTTGTGAGTATGTCGTCATAAACGGTGAAAGACCCGCTGTTGCATCATTGTCACTTGGCGGGGGACCGTCTTCAGCTTTTGATGATGCTATCAGAGGAATGATTAACGTTAACATCACAGTCTCTGTCGCCGCTGGTAATGATAATAGCGATGCTTGTAACTACTCCCCAGCACGAGTTACAGAGGTAGGCCTCTCTAAAACAATTATGAATTAAACTATTTGAATTTAAAAAAAAAATTAATTAATTAATTAAAAATAATAATAATAATAATAATAATAATAATAATAATAATAATAATAATAATAATAATAATAATAATAATAATAATAATAATATACCTTATTATGGTTCAATTCACTGCCACATTGGAATTTGAATGCTAAAATAGCTATGGACTAATATTACTGCATTTAATGTTACTTGTTATTACTAAACCTGGATAATGAACGTACGTCATCAGTCAATAATATTCTTAATTAATTAGGCTATTACAGTTGGTGCCACTGAAAACACTGATGTTCGCTCCTACTTCTCTAACTATGGCGAATGTGTCAACATTTTCGCACCTGGAACTGACATCACCTCCACCTGGTACAAGAACAAACGTGCTACAAACACCCTCAGTGGCACATCAATGGCATGTCCTCACGTAGCTGGTGAGTGCAGCTAGAATGAAGCTAGTTAGGTGCCGAATAAGGGAGTTTTAGAGTGCTGTCTGAGAGCAGCATCATTTTCTTTGTAGTCTAACCCTAAAGCGACATTCACATCGGATCTGAACCGACATTCGGATCACGTTTCCGAATCGCTCAACGCTAGCATCCCTATTCTACATACCATGAAGGAATTAATTTAGAAAAATAAGTCCACCATGTAGATACATACTGACCCGAATTTTTTTAACAATGAGGATAATATCATTAGGCTATTAAAGTATTTATAATGTTATCATCGTCATTTTCATTATTATTATTATTATCATCATTATCATCATCTGACCTCATCATCATCATATCATTATTATCATTATGATTGTTATTATTATTATTATTATTATTGTTGTTGTTGTTATCATTATTATTAGTATTATTTATTATTATTATTATTATTATTATTATTATTATTATTATCGCTATGAAATCATTATATAAATAGCAAATGTTATTATTATATATATTATTTATATATTTGTTTTTTCTTTAAGGCATAGCCGCTCTGCATCTGGCGAATGATCCCTCAATGACGCCGAAGGAAGTAGCTAACAAGATCTATAATGATGCCACACCAGACATTATTCTTGATCCCGGCCAGGGTTCAAATAACCGTCTTGTTTACGCTGCATAAACAACGTTGTACAGAAATTGTAGACGTAATTAAAGATACTAAAACTTAAAATTTATATATCGCTTTAACATGTATAAAAAGATTAGATAAAACAGAATGAAATACTGAATAGAATAGGGGCCTATAGCTTATTCAGTGTTCTCCCTAGCATCATGGGCAAGCTTCATGGTAAGTGTCAAAGTCAACCATAGGTGCGACTAACACAGGGTATTTTTAATAATTAGGAGGCATTGAAAATGTCCTAAATTGCACTTTAAGACTATATAAAAACATCATGGAAGATGTTCTAAGTATCATGGCCAACTGTCAAGCATCATGGGGAAAGTCCCAAGCATCATGGTACCATAATGTTTCAACGTCCTGGGGAGAACACTGTTATTATAACAGTAAAATAAATTACAATGTTAAAACAATAGGTGTCACACAGTAAAAACCAATAAACAATTACCACCGTGTATTTATCTCTTAAGCCCTCTCTAGACTATCAAATTTTATTTGACAAAGAACCTGTGGCATGCCTAAATATGGTCATAGTGACATCACATCATGACCATATATAGTCACATCATGACCATATATAGGCACATCATGACTATATATGGGCATACAACTTTTTTTTTTTGGCAAATAAATTAAATGGTGTGGACAGGACCTTAAACTTCTTAATGTTACCGCAATTCACATTATAGAACAAAAATGCTTGATGTAAAAATTGACTAACTTTGCCAGTGTGTCGGTAAATGCATTATTCGTAGGTGACAAAATCAAATTATTTGCTCTAAAATACATAACCACCAAAAATTATAAATATGTATTTTGGGAATAAAATCATATTTAGGCTACTTTATTTCAATTTGTATACTACTTTACTGTTATTTATTTTAGCTCGATTCTTTTTAATATCATTGAATACCTGTCTCTTATACACATCTAGATGTGTATAAGAGACAGGGCCTACAGTATAAAATACAGCTCTGAGATATGGTTCCTACTGTACAATTTTTTATTTGGATTATTGTTATTAATAATATATTATAGTTTTGTAACAATTACTAATACTAGCATTATCATAAGTATAACCATGATTTTGTGTTAGTAATATCAATTATTTATAAACCATGAATATGCCTATATTGATGTACATATCTGCTTATGATAGGCTATTTACAATTCACTAACACATTATAGGCTATATTGCTGCCAATTTTGCTTATTGTTTTTTTGTTGTTTTTTTTTGTGATGTTTATTTTATTTTTATTTTTATTATTTTCTTTAATTTTATTTATTTGTTTGTTCTTTATACTGGGTTTCCTCTTCAGTAACAAATTACTGTTCTCCCAGAGGGCCCAGTTCACATAAAACAGTCCACGACAGGGGCCGGGTGAACCAGTACACCGGGGTAACCCCCTACTCATCTCGAAGGATGTACTGGGTTCTTTAAAGTGCACATGGGCATTTTAATCTTAGCTTATTATTTTTTACTATTTTGTAATTAATAATATTATTAAGATTATTTGTCAATATCTCTTTCATTTGATCTATCAATGTGTTTTATTGACGCTGCGTCGGCGAAGTTGTGTTTCAATGTGTGTTTTTGAAAATGAAATAAAAGAAAACAGAAAAAAATATATGCCTAATAATAATAATAATAAGCTAAGATTTTGCTAAGATGGTTTGATAAATCAGCTTAAGATATTTGCTTTAGGGACATCTTAACTAAATCCCGGGTCTAGGCCTAAGTAGCACATGTTGCTGTAAAACATCATTTTTAACTTGAAACGCAACTAGCCTTGCTCATGTAGTCCGAGTTACCATAACTTATAAACTCCAACACCAACTCCTTCGTCCGACTCCACGACTTTAGTTTGCCGATCCAAACAAATATATTTTGATAGCCAATCCAATTGTGGTCAAACATCACATGGGCGATCCTGTACCGTAGGATTTCCTGTACCGTAAGAACCTCACTCCAGGGATTTAATCCGGGACCCTGAACAAGGCTCTAGGCATCCCCATGTTTTAGACCCCGATAAGCATTGTTGGACCCCCTATCGATATTTTTCTCATTTTTTTTAATTTTACGAGAATTTTACTACAAAATCCTCAATTTAAGAGTCTATGTATAAATAAGAATATAGCATTGGAGTAATTTAACTGTCTGTTAATTGACAGGAAAACTATTTTGTCATTCATATATTTAATTGTAAGTTTGTAACTTACTTAAATATAATTATTCAGTTATGGAATTAAATTGTTTATCCTTCAGCAGAAAATGTATATTTAAATTGGACCTCATTGGATATGGGCTGGACTCCGGCATAAGAGGTGTTCCTGATGCTCATTACGGTAATTTTTACTTTTCTTGATCTCAATCCATTTGTTATATTGCTTATACATGTTGAGCATCGAATATATTCGATCAATCAATCAAAAAATATATCATGAAAAATGTTTGTATGAAGATTATTGATATAGTATTATGTTTATTGTTTGAATATACTGTATTTTTAAATATATATAATCATTTCTATCGAATAGTACACTTTTTATAAATTTTATTTACCCATGACAAACGGAATGCTAACATAGTTTAGTTTGCGCTATTGCGATCCAGTCCTACACAATGCCATGTATTTAATAATTCTCTAACCATTCCATGGTATGATGATACTATAAATAATTAATATTTAATATGATAATGCTGATATGATATGAATTGTGAAGTGATACTATGTTGTATCAGCGGCATTATCCATTGCGATAACTGAATACGATAATGTTTATGTTGGTACCGTATGCTCCCCAAAATCTTTTAAAATGGTAAAAAAATTGGAGGAGAAAAAAATAAAATTACATTCAAATGTAAAATCTGAGAGTGCCACTTCTGGCCATCTATAGGTGCCATAATCGAAGAGTTTATTACCGCTACCATGGTGGGGCTGAGGTGTGGGAACTCTTCATATGGCAAAGTCCCTCCCCGTGGACTCCCTGTATTTCAAACCTACTGGCTCTGCCTCTGTTTTTATTTGTATATTATGTTTTGATGATACTCCGTTATAATTCTTTCTCTGTTTCCTAATCTTTTGTCAATATTTTTCTATTCCAGTGATGTAGACAAAGAAGCCACAAATATCAGGAAAGGATGTCCGGACTCAATCGTGAAAGGGCAACAGAACTTACCAATTATTCATAGATAACCAATTATTGTGTCACTCATCAAGCTTCCTGCAAAAATTCTGGATATGAAATTAATTAAAATACTGTATAGTGTAAAGTTTATTTTTCAAATGTTTTCCTCTGCAATCATCTCAAATATAATGTTCAGAAATATGTAGTAATTCTTGTAGGCTTTATGTTTATTGATATTGTATTGTTATACTGCTAATGTATCTTATTAATACAGTAAGTAACCCCTTTGTAGTAAAGAATATAGACATGTAACATAATAAGACATAACGTTTAGAGAATTAAAGTCAGATTTATTGATTTTTGTAGGATGTACATGATATAGGCCTACAGTATATAAATAAACAATGTATGTATCAGAACTTGATCTCAATGCTTGAAAATAAATATCAAATGGAATTGTACATTTCTTCTTATCTTATTTAATGTCTATGTTTACTGTAATAAATTCAATAGCTAAAATATCCTTATTATAATAAGGTTATAAGCTTAAACCGAAAGTGAAGAATTGCTTTATCAGTATGTGCTACTTTATGTATTAAACTAGCAATTCTTTCGAAGACTCCCTCAACAAAAACATAAACCGGAAATGACGTGTTTGCTAAGCAACAAGCTCATGCATAATCATGATTATACAGTGCACCTGTTCTAATTAGACTAACAATAAAATCTTTTTGGCCGATTTTGTCAAAACTGAGCTAAAAGTTTTTATTGTTAGTCTAATGAGCACAGGTGTACTGAATATGCATGAGCTGTAGCCTAGCAACCGACGTTATTTCCTGTTTTGTAAAATTCGACAGCACCTCAATTGCTCTGAAAAGGTTTGTAATTTGTTGGTGTCATGTGAATATATTTGGAAAGAGTGTTTATAAGATATATTAGGCTGTAATAGTGCTATATTCGAATCGAAGTGATTATAATATATTTAATTCGATTATATACCGGTACTGATTAATAATCATGAAATATATAATATTATTATTAATGTAATTACGACAAAAGAAGTACACACAGTGATGTATTATAAATTACACTAGTTTACTTTCATTTCTTACATACTCGGAAATGTTACATCAGAACTGTATAAACGTAATATAAATATAATATAAAGATTCTAGTTTTATATAATATAATATATATAATGCTTAGGCCTAATTATATTTAAGTATGTAATATCGTTCGAGAATTATTGTTCGTTGTATAAGAAACATAATTGGCAAATTTTATTCAATTCCGGTGGTCCAGTGATATAAATCCTAATAAATATCCAGCATGTAACAAGGTTTGGGTTCCGTCCTGGTGAACTTGGTATTCATGGTCACTTTGCAACAATTCGTGAAATGGAGTGTCAAATACTGTAACACAACAAAAAATATAAAGTGTAATCAATGGCAGCTACCTAATATGCACACAAACTTTTTTATTTGCTAAAAACATTAACATAAACAATGAATAACAATAAACTGTAATCTAATACCTGCCAAATATGTAATATAATTAAACAATCATCTCAGTTTATTTGTATATATATATATATATACATATATATATATATATATGTATATATA